TATATATTTAATAACATTAAATTAAAGGCGGTTTGTTATTAAAAAATATAATGCTAGATTTTGAGGTTGCCGTTACCGATCCCAATTATTCGAGTTTTATCGCAGACGATCCTTCGCTACATTTCGAAGATCTTCCAGAAATTTTAGAAGTTACAAACACCATAAATGAGACAGGTAAAAATATTTGTTTTTTATTCTTAAAAAAAAAATAAAACTTGTAATTTTTCACAATGTTTTATTTTTTTCACATTTGTTTCGCTAACACAGTAACTTTTTCAGGTCGAGTGTTCCAATAAAATCATTGTGAAAAATTGCATGTTCTATTATTTTTTATGATGAATTTTCAGCAAGTAAATACCGATTCCATCAAGTATTATCTATACCTTTTTTTTTGTATTGAATTTTTTACTGTAATATAGTAGAAAATGGTACAGTCTTATTTATGTAGTCGTTTAATGTTTGCATTTTAACGTTAGATTATTAACTAACAATAAGGAAAACGCCTAAATGCGGCGAGAAACTGGAAATTGTTTGGTTATATGCCATAGTATGGCCAGAAAAACTAAATGTTGTGAGATATTACACTACTTTCTTTGGAAACCAATTGAAAGTAAACTTTTGATAAAAAATGTGATAAAGGTATGCATAGAACTAAAGAAACAATGTAATTAAGTAAAACAGTCGGATAAATCAACCGGAGCGATAAATAGAATCAGTGACGGGAGTTTCTAAGCGAAACTCAATTTTATGTTATGAAAAATATGCAAGCGAATAAAAAGTAGGGTAAGAGTGAATATACACAGAGAGGATACGAAAAAGTAAAGTCGCTGATTTTCGGAATCTCGAAAGTTCGGTAATTCAGGATGGAAGGAGTTGCAGACATAAAACAAAGGATAGCGCAGCGTCGAATCGCTTTTAAGGATGTTTAGGAGGTATGTCAAAATGTTACGAGACAAATAAAAATTTGGAAAAACGTTCCTCATTCATTTCTAAAAATCCTGTAAAAATTACAAATCGATTCACTAAACCGTTAAAAAGTTATTGAAATTTTAAAAAATTGTAATTTTATGGAGATTCGTTAACCGAACAAATTAGATTTATTTATATAAGCTACCAGAAATTTCAAACTTTTATAATAAGTGTCTTGAACTCTGGAGAATCACTTTAGCGTAAGGTTATGCAAATTTACTAAATGGTTATCGAGGAAAACATGAAAAGTTAGCTGAAAATGTAGTTTTTACTTGATAATATAATGATGATATTTATAATTGTCTGAAATAAATGCAATTTTAAAGTTTTAATTATTATTTAAACATATTAGAAAGTTTTACGCTCATTATTATTAGATTTTTGTTTCGAAGTTGAAATCAAGGCATATTCACTGCCAAAAGTCAGTTAAAAATTTTTCATATTCGTTATTTCTTATTTTGGTCATTTTTTACATTAGTTGGCATTGGAATTTAGACATGAAGTTTAGTTAGGTAGGTAGTACTCACCCTGTAGAATCGTGTGGTAGTATTAATTCCATGCGGAAACCAATGTAACTTGAGATACAGGCTCCTAAAATTTTCTTAATTGGAGGGAATTCCGGTTGGTACGGCCCTGGCTGCAGCCCTTCGTCAGCTGTTCTCGCCAAATATGCATTGATGACGTCATTGTTTAGTTAGGTAGATGTATGACAGACTCGAGTTTGTTTAATGCCCCTGCCCGCCGAAGGCGGGCTGATACATTAGAATAATGTTAGGAAGATATGTTTTAGGACAAACGATGTTTGGCGGGAACAGCTGACGGAAGGCTGAAGCCAGGGCCGTACCTACCGGAATTTCCTCCGATTAAGAAAACTTTAAGGGCCTGTATCTCACTCACATTCATTTTTAAACAAATAATAAACAAAATTCTAGTAAATACTACTACACTACTTTACTTGGTGAGTACTACCTACCTGACTAAACTTCATGTCTCAATTCCAATGTCAACTAATGTAAA